CCCGCAGGCTCAGGGCGGCTAACAACGGCATAACGCCAGATAATAACAATAAAACACTAAAATTCTGACTAAAATTACAAAATAAGCAATTAAATAATTAACAAAAGTTCTTAAAACACTTTCCGGTGCTCTCTACTCATATCCAATTTCTTACAATCAAGATGGTGTTCTCCATGATATAGTTGTGTAACCGTACCCCCCCTGTTGTCCCTAGGCATGTCCCATTCCCTCCGATGGAGCCCGCACCAGTGGTGACAGTGTGCGGGAATTATAGGGCGTTGTCTGATAGACCACTGATAGACCACTGTCTGATAAGGCACCTTTGTGTGTTCAGGTGTTCAACTCATCAACAGTTTTTAATCACTTTGTCCTAGATACTTTGTATACAATGGTCCTAAATTTCATTGTTTCTGGGGGTTTTTTTATAGCTTGTGTACAGTGGATACAACAAAGAAACATTAAAGCAGAGGATACTTCAGCTAAGTGTGCTCAGTGCCGAATCGCTACGTGAGAACTTTTTCCTGGGCGGTGTCACTCTCTCCTTAAAGGATTTTAACTTGAACAAGGAGACGGTCAACTGGTATCGGCTGACTGCTGTACCATACTTGTGAGCTTGACAAGTCATAGAGATGATAAGAATAGATTTGATCAGACTTGACTCCACGGCTATATGGTTGCTTTTCCTACTTGAAGATAATGTGTACACTTTAGCATGAGACACCGCAGTTCATCAGATTATAGTTGGACCAGTCTTCAAAAAGCTTAAACAGTTCAGCTTTATGCTTTTACTGTAATAGCAAAGCATTGATGTAAATTAATAATGTACATTTAATACTTGTGAATAATTTTCTAAACCGTGACTAGATGTTCCAAATTAAGTCGGGGGGGGGAGGACTTTTTAGCAGTCAAATCTGAATTGCTTGCCCTTTGATAAACCACAAGCTACTTTATACTTCTGCTGATGTCATATGCACCACCATGTTGTAAAAATACTAAGGTTAAAAAAAAAATTGCGCCTTTTCAGTAAAGTGTTAGTCAATGCACAGTCAAAAGGGAAGGTTGGACAGACGGCTGAGAAACTTCACTATTGCCTATAACACTAGGACACCATAAAACCTCTTCATGGCTGTTATCAGAATGAGTGCCAGTAATGAAAGTTACAAATTATAGTGCCTTATTTTGTCATTAAACTGCTTTTTGAATTTCCCTTCTGATATTTAAAAAACGGCATTTTTACCTAGCTCTTTTAAAATGATTTTTTTTTTCATGTGGCTCACTATTTAAGTATTTAACAATATTTTTCCTTACATGTTCAGCTTCCTAGGTCAAATTCAAATGATGCCAAGCATTTGAATGCTTATCCACTTTACTTTGGGACCTTCATTTATGTGCTCTTGGGTATTATCTTCATGAACTGGAAATATTATATGGATGCACATTCAAATGACTAAGTTATGGCTTGATACGGAACTCATATATTTCCAGAACCTAGATTAGATTATGGATTGTTAGGTAGGAATTTTGGATTCAGTTTACAGATTGTGTTTCTAGTAGTCCCATATAAAAATCTCCGTACCGTCAGTAATGTGATTTAAAAATTAACTTCAAGGAGCAAAGGACCATAATATCAGTTGCTTGACTGGGAATAAGTTGCATTGGTAACTTTTGGTGATGAAATTGAGACACTGATACCTTGAGCTAACTAGGTATGCTTTCCAAGAGCACTAAAAAGTAATTTGCCAAGCACTTTATTCATTTCAGTGGAACTTGGCTTGCCTTTACTAACATTAATGGAAGATGCTCTGCACAAGCCCTGAAGAGACTGTAGCCTAAATCTGCTGACTAACTTGATCTGAAATTTAACATTTGTGTGGCATCTAAGGGTAGATTGTATGTAAATGCAACTTAGTATCTTCCATAAAAATAATCCAATGTAAAAGTGATCTTAAATGGACAATATTTTAATGCTAAAGCCCAAATATTTTTAGTAAACGTAATAGATAAGAAATCTCCATGACAATGAACTTAAAACAAAATATGCAATGACCAATGAAAATATGGGAGATGATGACAATCTTTGTTTTAGTTGCCCAGAAATAAAATATGCTTTAATTTATTTTCTCTAGTGACCCAGCCCCTGCTGCAAACCCAATAGAGCAAGTTACAAGCATGTGAATTTTTGGAGCCTAAAACATCCATGGTCCAACTGTACACAATAAAACTTTGGAACGTCTCCCTGAATATTAAAAGTGCCATTGTGGCTAAAAAGAAACTGCTTTTTTAAATCCCCAGATTCTATTGGTAATTATTCTCCATATGTAAATAGTTATTATAGAGTAAGTAGAATAAACTAACTAGATTGTATTTCCTGATCACTTGATGCTTTTTGAGACTCATTCCATTCCATCCACAGAACCACAAGTCTTTTAAGCAGGAAAGTGGACTACTGTTTTCATGAAACGTTCCATTAGAGTAATTACAAGCAATATGCACTGCTTTTTTGCAGTCTGTTACGAGAGCACAGTATCTTGCAGCACAAAACTAGAGGTTTAAAGGGTTCTTTTCATAACATTTGTCTGCCACTGCTCATGTGCTATGCTTCTTTTGGTAGCTTTTGTCATTGTCTGTCATAGCTCTAGCCTTTGCCTACCGTCACCACTTCTCACATTAACTCTCACTTCTCACATTGGCTTAAAGTTATTTGGACACTTTTTAAAAAAATCATTGTCCCCATCAGAAATTGTAGAGGAATATGAAGTCTTCATCTTTTTTGTACTATTTATAGTAGTGTTGATCCAAAACAGATGATTCTCCAATTTACAAAATATGCTCTGCATTTTTAAAACTGACATAACACAATGGAAAGGGGAGAGGAATAATTGGGATGAAAGTTAACACTTTACTAATTTTTTAATGGGGGTGGTATCATGACACTTTTATACTTTGCTAAATCAAATAAACTCTTATGCAACATACATGGATTGCAGCCAGAAATACTTTTTCTATTTACATTTATTTTTCACTTTTTGAGGAAAGCATCTTCCTGTAAGAAAAGTGACCTCCACGTTTTCTGTATTAAATATCCTGGCTAGGACTTTGCACTGAAGATTTTTATTACTGCCTTTTTACAATCTACACACACACAAAAGCGTGAGCGATCTTTGATACTTCTCTATTTTTAAAGTTAAAATTGTGTAGAAGTCTTAGTATCTTGCCTTAAAACCAACTGCTCTTTCTAGAATACCATACAGTGCAGCATTCAGATAGAACGTTATTTGCAGGATACGGCCGCGGTCCAGTGGAGTGTTATGATAATGGTGGGCTGAAGCATGCTTAAGTCTGTGTTGGATTGTAGCCTCTGCGTGTTGTTACATAGAGGGAACATTTTTCAGGCAATATTGTACCATTATAACTCATAGGAATCTTTCCTCCTATGCTTTGTACTCTCATACTGTGACTAAAACTACAGCAAGTTTATAGATAATGGGAGCAGTTTGCCCTGAATTGTCTATTTATCTCTAAAAACCAAATACTTCAGTTATATTACACTGATAGATAATAAAGATGTACAGTATTTCTATCAATATCCTAACCCATAATACATGGGTTAAATGTGACTCCATAACTGTCCTACAAATACATTAAACACTATTCTGGAATAAATAAATGTGTTGTCTCTCTTTTCCCTCTTTCTGCCAAATAAATTTGGAGATATGGAAGCTAAGAAATAGGGCAGCTCAGTCCTAGATTATGGATGCTGGTGCAGCTATCCATATCCTCTGCACTCCCAAGGAAAACAGGTGCCCCTAAATTCCCAAGTCAAAGAATGGGAGTTTAGCAACTGCGGCAGAGACCATAGTGAAATTGCCCACCATTCATGGTGCAGTACGAGAACATCCACATAAAGAAGCAGCCCCACTGAGACCAGCACAACTCTCTGTCACGATAGCCTGACCTGGAGTACAAGTTATGTATTTATGCTGCTTCTCACAATAAGGTAAGGACCAAAAGAAACAAAGTATCCTCTGCTCTATGGAAGACTACGGCATGCCCTATACAGGCCCCACTGCTAAGATCTCTATAAATGGGGTGTGTGGGGGGGGGGGTCAGATTCCCCTCTGCAAGTGCATGGTGTTTTTTTTTAACTCCAGCCATATCACCCAAACACCTCCACAACTCACCTTGCAGGAGAAGCATCCATGGAAAGGCCATGACATTTCCCACCCAGGACTGAGTGTGTTGAGGGAAGAATGCTACCCTAAAAGGCAGCTTATTGCAATGTGGGGTGGGGGTCCAGACAATTAGCAATAAGAGAACACTCAGCCATACACTGACAGAAATAATCTGTCATTTCCTTCCAATAACATTTTATTGGTATAATACAATAGTATTACGAAAACATAACAATCACATTTTTATAACAGTAGCCAAGTCCATAATGAACTAAAGAACAGTTAAACATATTAACCAGTACAATATGAATAAAAAATGTAAGCATTGAAAAATGATGTATAATTCAATAAACTTTGGAACAAAATACCTTGTTTTTATAATGTATTCTAATTAAAGCCTGTTCTGTTCGCTGTTATTAACTCAATAAAGTGCCTTCTGCCCTCTAAACTATCAATAGGCATTCAATAGCATATCTAACAATGTGAAAAACAAAGTGAACCTATAAACCATAAACAATTTACCATGAGGATATCAGTATTTTGCTATATCTATGAAGTTTCAATAAACAATATTCATTTGAACCATATATAAGTCATTATATCCATTTAATATAGTTATTCCAGGATGCTGAAATGAATTTTTCTTCTGTTAAGGCTTCTAGAATAGGAAACCATTTAACTTCGAACCCTAAATGTGCAATGTTCCCTTTATTTCTGTTAACTTTAGCTGTGATGCTTTCCATGATGAACTGATTCCACAACTTTTTGTACCAGGTTTGAATGTCAGGCAGGGAAACATCTTTCCAGCAAGATGCAATAGATAGTCTAGCGGCATATAACATTGTGTCAAGCATTTCTCTATTATGGTGGTGTGCTATTTCTTTTGGCCAGTAGCTCACTATGGGAAAACATACATGGGAAAACAGGAATTAAGTGCTCAGATCCTAGGGAGACAGATGGAATAAAGCAAAGCACATCATTTGGCCAGCACTAACGCAACCAGCAACAAAATAGGACTAGAACCCACATCTCACATAGTTCAAGTACTCCTCTAACTGCACACCTAAGGAGCACACATGGGGTGCATATACCAATGCAGGACAAAGTGAAAGGCATGCGGCTCTTCAGTTTTGCAATGCCTGGAGATGCTGCTGTGGTTTGTACAAGATAACAAAGTAATTCCAGGCACTGCCAGACCAAAACATGCAATCCCCACACATGTGGATTGACTTCCTCAGACTCCTATCTTGCTTAGCACCTTGCCATGCAGCCATCTCTGTGTCAAGTTCATAAAGTTAATTACCACAGCCTGCTTCATTCATTGTTCTAAATATTTGTTCTAAATATCCCTTCCCTATGATAGATGTTCGAGACCCGAGAGTGCCGCATGACGGAGTGAGCTCCCGTCTCTAGTTCCAGCTCCTGCCAACCTAGCAGTTCGAAAGCAAGAAATTGCAAGTAGATAAATAGGTACCACTTCAGTGGGAAGGTAACAGCATTCCGTGCACCTTGGTGTTCAGTCATGCCGGCCACATGACCACGGAAACGTCTTCGGACAGCGCTGGCTCTTGGGCTTTGAAACGGGAGATGAGCACCGCAACCCTAAAGTCGGACTCAACTGGCTTTCGAGCAAGGGAACCTTTACCTTTACTATGATATATGTAGCCCTGTGTGGTTCCTCACATGTTAATAGTAATTGTGTAGATTATGAACCCCTCACTGTGCTTAACTATGCAGACACTGGAAGATTCTATCAGCCCTCCCGGTGGGAGGGCAAATCTTAAAGACAGATAAGGTTTGTTAACGAGCAGATTTGTGGGCACAAACCTAATACTAAATCATACTCCAACAGCCACACAGAGTGAAGCAATCCCAACTTTTAAAAGTAAGATGAATGGAATTCTAGTCTCTTCATCTATTAAGGATCCAGTGCATTTGAAAGCCCTGCTGATACTACTTGTCAAGCAACTCTGTTAAGTGACTAACATTGGTGCAGGAGCCAGGCTAGAACAAAAAATCTGTCAATGACGTAGCAGAGCATCTAGATACATACCACTGCAATTGCTGGTTGTGTTGTACGCATAGCAGATGGTTGGCACAACACTGACTAGGTCCCATCCTGGCTTCCACCCATGCTGAAAGAAATACCTGGGAAGAGTCAAAATACACTACTATAGTGTTGAATAATATTCTCCAAGTAGCAACTAACAGCAAGTAGGATCAAGTATACTGCATACCAGGGGTCATTTTGTAGGAAAAGAGGCGCAGGAGCTCATTAGCATAACTCATTAACATAACTCATTTGCATATGCCACACCCCCTGACATCACCGGAAGTGTGTCAGAAGGCAACACCCACCACTCAGGCTCCACTGGGCTGTTCTGGATTGCTAGCTATTGGGGGGGGGGGCGTGCAGATCTGTCCTCACAGAGGAGGGAGAGCTGGTACCTGAATAAAACTTGGTCTTAAAGGTGCCACTGGACTGTTTTGGGTGGGGGGGGGGGCTCTGCAACTTACCTGGCTGCTTCTTACTCTGCCTGAGGGCTGCTGGGAGCAGGGGGTGGGGCTTGTTGCATGTGCCCGCCCCCTGGGCTCTTTACTGCCGGAGCTCCGCTCCTGTGCGCTCCTGCAGGAAATGACCCCTGCTGCATACCCAAGTACTGGATCTGAGAGAGGAGCACTACCTAGCTGTTCTTCCAGCTGTACCTGTACCTTCTGTCTTCCCACTGGGAGTTTCCACAGTGTTCCCTCTAAGCTGAGTTGGTGTGAGCCAGCTCACAGTTTTTTAGCCTCCGGCTCACACATTTTTGTCTTGGCTCAGGAAGGGTGGCTCCAGAGCAAACTAATTCATGCAGCAGCCAAATCGTTCACTCACAACTTTAATGCCAGCAGCTCACAAAGTAGAATTTTTGCTCACAAGACTCCACAGCTTAGAGGGAACATGGAGAATTGGAGAACACAGTGTAGTTACTGGACTAATACTAACCTATCCCTTGCACTCAGTTGCACTGGATCTCTGCCTGCAGTTTCTGTTGTAAGTTGCTCTAGTGGACTCTGATCCTACAAAATAAAGAGCATGTGTGCTTGGCCAGCAGTAGAAATGGTTGGAGTTAGGGATGGCAGCCTCCAGTTGGGTCCTGGGGATCTCCTGGAATCATACCTCATTTCCAGACTACAGAAACATTTAAGACATTTTAAGAAGGGCGCTTATGGTTATTCCAGCTATAAACTGCCCTCAGGGAGAAGAGGGGTCTGACTGCTGACAGTGTGAAATGATTTAATAATGAGGAATTTCAATGAGTTCAAAGGGAATGTTTATGCTCAAGTCACTGTTTTTCCTGGTGTAACATTCTGCTGACATTGAGGGTGGGCTGATGGGCTTAGGAAGTCTAAATCCTGCTGCTTCTCTGGTATGCCCCCCCCCCCGATTCTGCTTATTTTGAGCCCGGCTCCAACGTGCAATGCTAGTGTCATGTTTATACCAGTATGATGTCAGTGCAGTGCTACACCAGTGTATCTGTGAGCTATACTGGGCTCTTCCATATTCTCATTTTTGTCACTCATTTGTCCCTATTGCTTTGAGCCCCCCCTTTCCCACATGTATTTTGGTCACTCGGGGACTACTAGAGAGAGCAAAACACATGGGGGGACGACGACCCTGAAGCAATAGAAACACATGAGTGATGAAAATCAGAATGCGGAAGAGCCCACTGATGCAGAGCGCAGGTGCCACCCTAAGCACTTTTCAGACTCTTTAAGATTGCACTCTTTGTAAAATAAGACCTTTAAGCCTATCTGTTTCATTGGCCTAGTAAATGAAACTGCCCTTTTTGTGTGTTGTTAAGTGTAATACTCTCACTCAATGCACATTTTAGAGGTGATGATTCAAATCACAAGTATATATCTAAAATCTGTCTCAGACCACTGTACATTGTTTACATTAATTTGAGAGGGCCCCACTTCTGCATGATCCATGGAAAGTATTCAGTCATGCTTTTAACCCATGTTTCCTTGTACACCTCTCTCTGTTCATCACACTGCACTCTCTTCTCTCTTCCATAACACTGCATCCAAAGAAGTTGGCTGTCATCCTAAAGTTTATACTAGAACGATATTATTATGCTGGAACAATAAGGTTTCCCTTCTCTCTGTACCATCCAAGGTTTATTCTGAGCCTTCTTTGAACTCTCATTTTATTTTTCCACACCACACTGTCTGCTGCTCTGGTACACCCCATGGTGTACACTACCTTCTCTCTCCCTCTAGAGATCCATCTGCTACCCCCTCTGCCCATCACTTTCAGTTACTCCCTCTATTACTCCACCTCCCAGGTTTGCACACCACTTACTTACTTTCCCTTTGCACAGAACTCCCCTCTCCCTCTGTTTTTCTTTTAGGCTTTAGGAGAAGACGGCTTGTGTTTTCATGTCCCATGGCCCAAGGTTCCCTCTAAGCCGTGAAGTCTTGTAAGCAAAAATTCTACTTTGTGAGCTAGTGGCGTTAAAGTTGTGAGCGAGCGATTTGGCTACTGCATCAATTAGTTTGCTCTGGAGTCATCCCTTCCTGAGCTAAGACAAAAACGTGGGAGCCGGAGGCGAAAAAACTGTGAGCTAGCTCGCACTAACTCAGGTCAGAGCTCTTCTTACAGGGGCTACTGTAAGCTGTTGGAGAATTGGCTACATTAGGGGTGTGTCGCTTAATATGCAAATAAGTACCTGCTACAAAAAGAGCCCTGCCTGAGCTATGTTCACGGGCATCTATGATTTTGTACGTTGCAGAAAGTCGCCCTGAGCCTGCCCTGACAGGGAGGGTGGGGTACAAATTAAACAAACAAGCAAACAAACAAATAAATAAATAATACTTCTGTGGCTATTGAATCTCCTTCCCATCTGGCATCTAGCTTGTCAAGTCTGAGGCACTCACCAGGTCAATTATTATTATTATTTTAATTAACAAGCTCTTAGTCTGTCTTTCAGTGTGTCCCTTGTTTCAGAATGTTTCATCCTGCTCGGCTGCTGTTTGTTTCTGTTATTTGACTGCTGCTGTCCGAATTGCGTTTCTTCGTTGTTGTAAGATGCACCAAAATTGTGACTTCTGGGCGGGATAGAATTTGTAAAATACGTGCAGGAATTCTGAGTGTTCGCTGCTCCTACACAAATAAATGGGAAAAGAACACAGAACAGCCGGTCAGGGGGTGGTGGGGAGAGGGGAATCAGTGGCCATTGGACTGCGTAGCCCTGGTCAGGCGGCAGCACCCAAAGCGCTATGTTTCAGGGGCGGATTAACCATTAAGCAGACTAGGCACGTGCTTAGGGCACCAGGGCCAAATGGGGGCACCACAAAGTTGGGGAAAGGGTGAAAAGAACTTTATGTAGCCCAAGCTTGGCTTCGTTTGTACAGTATATCCTAGGAATAAATTTTTGTATTGCTGCAACTTGCATTGTATATCTGGTCAGACAGGCCAACAACTAAAATGGACCGGGTCAGTGTGGAAAGGAGGGGGGCACCAAGATTGGTCAGTATTAGGGTTGCCAAGTCTGGTTTGGAAAATACCTGGAGGCTTTGGGGGTGGAGCCAGGAGAGGGCGGGGTTCGGGGAGGGGCCTCAGCACAGTACAATGCCATCGAGTCCACCCTCCAAAGCAGCCATTTTCTCCAGGGGAGGTGATCTCTTTCGGCTGGGGATCAGTTGTAAAAGCGGGAGATCCCCAGGCCCCACCTGGAGGCTGGCAACCCTAGTCAGTGCTTAGGGCACCAGTGTGAGCCTTAATCCGCCCCTGGACTCTGTTTGCTATCAAGGCAGTGTGGCATTTCATGAATTAGTATAAGCGGCGCCGGGGGACGTCCTTCCACAGAAGCAAAACTCAAAACTTTGTTCTCCTACAGAAGCAAGTGATTTCAGATGGGCCGCCGCCTGAAGTCTGCAGCAGCAAAGCACAAAAAGAGACCCGGTGCCAAACTCAGAGACGTTATAATAAACCTTATGCCGGGGATAAATTTTGCCAAGTCTCTGAAGGGCCACCGGACTCCTGTTTCGTCTTGCGGAAGGGAAGGCACACAGAAACTCAACCAAACTTCTCTGGAGGACGGCCTACCCTAGCAACGCGAGTCAACCAAGCATGCGCAGCGACGTCTTTCGCAGTGCATCACGGGAATTAAAGTCGCTACTTCCTCCTGGGGCATGATGGGGGATGTATTTCTTGGTTCGGATGTGCCGGGCAAGGGCGGCGGCGGCGACGCGCGTGCGCGCCGACGTCATTTCCGACGGGAGAAGGTTGATCTGTGCCGTGTGCGCCGACGTCATTTCCGACGGGAGAAGGTTGATCTGTGCCGTCGGCGGGCGCTGCTCTTTCTCTTCCGTCGCCATCATGGGCCGCATGCACGCTCCAGGGTGAGGGCCCGGGCGGGGACCAGACCGTTCCCGAAGGCTGTCGTTACCGTGTTCGGTGTTGTAGGTTTGGGGGTCCACATTGTGGGTGGGGGACAGGAAGGCGTTTCGTTTCCAGGTCTTTTTTTGGCTGACCGTCGGTCGCTGACTCTGAACTCACTGAAAATGGACTCCGGAGGGTTCTAGAAGCGCCGCGTGGGCTGAGTTCGCGGGTCGTGGGCTGCAGCAACACACTTGATTTGAAGCGCCGCCGTGGTCTTGGGAGTGGAAGGGTTTTGGGGGGGGGGGGGTTGTGAGCTCACGCCTGGCTTGAAAGGCCCAAGAAAGAAATGCGGTCGCGGTGCCCCCCCCCCTTTTTTATTTTCAACCCTTTTTTATTGAAGTATTAAAAATGCATACAGCTGTAAAATAAAACCACTTCAATTTTGACAAAAATTAGCTAGCACTAATAACAACATAATCTATACATCAATCATCAAGAACAAATGTATAATCAACATTTAACTAAACTCAATATTGTACTGGATATCATTATATTTCGGAGAAGAGAATTCTTTAGCAATAAATCTTTTTTAAAATCTTCAGCGCCCCTTTTCTGATACCCCACCGCCACGCGTGTAGGTTATAAAATAATAAAAGACCTTGAATTTGCAGGACGTTTTCGGCCTGGTGGTGCCTAAGATTTGTGTGCGTGCTGCGCTACAAAAACAGCTTCAGTGTTTAAAGTGACGCTGTAATAATCCAGAGTGCGAAGATACACACAATCAACATTTCACAAGGTAAGTACAAAAACAAGCAAATTGATGAGATGTTAAGATCTCCGGATATGTTCTATCGTTTCGATGATAATCTTCTGCCGAAAGAAGTTGAAGAGTCTTATGAAACATGTACAGTAACAATATTACTTACTGTCAGTGTTCCCTCTAAGCTTATAACTCATATGAATTATGTAATGATAGTTAATGATGTTATATTGTCAATTGTTTGTAGACACTTCAGTGAGACTTATTGATATATACCAGTTGAGACACTGACTAGAGATGTTGCATCTAAGATAGGAATTTATTTGTTACCATTTTTAACATATTTATTGGTGGTTACAATTGTCAAGGATTCTTAAGTAATATTGTTACTGTACATTTCTCATAAGACTCTTCATCTTCGTTCGGAAGAAGATTATTATTGAAGCCGTAGAACATTCCGGAGATCGTCGTTAACATCTCATCAATTTGCTTATTTTTGTACTTATCTTATGAAATGTTGATTGTGTGTATATTCGCACTCTGGATTATTATACTGTCACTTTAAATACTTTTTGTAGCGCTGCACACACACAGGTTTCTGATTTTTGGATTGTTTCTTGGACTTACTTTAATACTGTTACCATCATATATACACAGGTGCCTAAGATTTAACAGGTTAAGTGTCTGGGAATATAGTTTTCATCGAGACATCATTTAACAAAACTGGAAATTATGCTGTTCCTTAAGTAAGTTCTGTTCTTACAACAATCCTGTGGGGTAGGTTAGGCTGAGAGAGAGTGACTGGTTGAAAGCTACACAGCGAACTTCATGGTACAGTGGATATTTTAGCTGAGCTTACCACTGCGGTTCTGATTATGTATCAGAATTGCCATGCGCACAGCTACTCAGAAGAGTTGGAACAAAATGGAATAAAAATATTTCAACTGTTGACATAGCTTCAGTGAGAAGTGGTTTGTTGATGGTGTTGGTGGGATCACAGGGAGTGTGGTGACTTTTATTGGTCCAAGCTTGTAAACCTATTCTGAACAGTTACTTTTTTCTAATGTGTATGTTAAAAATGTTTCTCTCTGTTCAACAGGAAGGGTTTATCCCAGTCTGCCTTGCCATATAGGCGAAGTGTACCCACTGTAAGTAGTAATCTGTGTAATCTGTTTGTTTCTGTGACCCAGTTTTCACTCATTGTGAGAAGTGCCTAATGGTGCATATTAAAATGATGTTAATATAGGTTACCGACTATGTTAGTTTAGAGCCCGTAAGTAAAAGCAATCTTATCTTGTACATTTGATGGTTTGTTAACCTGCACACTTATTAGGAATCAAGTACCACTGAACACTGATTTCTAAGTAGCTTGCCTAATCTTGTACAGCAAATGTCTGTGTGCACAATTTTTCGTGTGCTGTAGACTTCTAAATGACTCTCTAAACACCAGCCACCTTAAAATGATCTGAAAAGTGGACACCTCTTTCAGGTTTCAGAATTATGAAGAGCTTAACTCAATTGTTGGGATATTTGCATTGGCTTATGATGTTTTTGGGTTCAATTTTAAAAATAGTTAGTTTTTCATATGTATATTGGATCTTATTGATGTGTATGTTTAGTGTAGATTGTTAGCTAGGCTGAGCCTACTTTCTGTAGAAAAGTGATTACCAAAATATTTTGATGCATTTTAATACTTGTTTGCTTCTTAAATTTCTCTGTGTACAAACAGAGCATTCCCCAACACTAAAATTGTACAAAATGTCCTTTCACTCTCTTTAACCCAGGTAGTTTATTTACTGTGCGCTTAGAATCTGCCAACCAAACAGAAGGTATTATTGAAGGAATTTTTTGCTAGATTTCTGCATGAAGTACAGGAAATACCAAAGCTGCAGCTTTATCTTGTACGTCCTTAATTCATGTTGGGAATATAATGACTTGAAAGTCAGTCGTAGTCAACTGCTGGTCACAGAATTTCATTAAGATTACTGAATGGGTAGATCTTTGCTGTATCCTTAGAGACTTTGTCTTTTAAAGTCCCCTTGCAATTTAACACTTGCTTTGAGATTACATGGCATCCCACTTCTGCCGCGTTCCTCCTCTTGCACAGTATAAATACTAGCTGTTAGAAGGACAGACACACACACATACGTGCGCACACACACACACACACACACACACACACTGGAAGCTGCCTGACATGCACACTTGCTTTTTTTTAAACTAGACACTGCTCTAGTTACATTTTTATTCACTGTACTGATTCTGTGGTATGAAATATAAAATCTTTGTTATGATGTGGTCAGTGCACATTCAGTCTGATCCAGTGGTTAGTAGTAGGTACATTCTCTTATCATAAGGTACATCAAGATAAGTTTCTATACAAGTGAGGTTCCCTTAAGAATAGTTTTGCTGATCCAGTTATGTGCCTATACCAGTGTAGACTGTTGCTTTGGTATCTGATTGTAGCTATTTGTGAATTAATATGATACTTAATTGAATTTTGCAGTGGCTGAAACTTACTTCTGATGATGTCAAAGAACAGATTTACAAGTTGGCTAAAAAAGGCCTGACTCCCTCGCAGATTGGTATGTCTTCAGCTAAAATGCAGCATAGAGAGAGAAAGTGGGATAATCATGTTTTTTCTGTATAACGTCCTGTCCTATGTATACCTTTTTGTGGGCTGGAGCCTTCTGTCAGATGTATGAAGCATTATCCCTGATATTATCTGCATATGAACAAACGGAAGAAGGGCAGGGAGCAAGGGTGTCTGTTTATAATATTTCTTCACAGTCTAGGAAATAAAGCAGTGCAAGAGAGGCATGTTACCTGACTATACACGTTTTTCCCAATGGAAACGAGAATGGAAAAAAATCCATTAAATACTTTTTTTCAGTTTACTCCTGTCTTCTGCAGCATGTGAAAGGAACTAGTCTGTTTTGAACCCCAACCTTTCCTGGCACCCACCAAGTGTTTTTTAAAAAGGTAGGTGGAGCCAGGTGGGGCTTTTGATCGGCCGTGCAAATTTTTTTAGAATGCTGCTTTGGTAGCAGTTGCTAGCTGAGCACAAGGATCATTGCTGTGTGACGGAAGGCAAGCTACGGCAGCTGTTTTGGGGCTGGCTTCTCCTGTGGCAGTCATTTTGTGGCGGCTCCTGTCACACCGTGTCAGAACACTGAAGGCGCCCACAGGCTCAAAAGGTTGGGGACCCCTGACTTATATCAAATCATAGCTGATAGGGAAAAGAAAGATTTGAGGTGATAATGTTTTGAAAGGAAATACTTTAAATGGTGTGCTAATTGTGTCCACACTTGTTAAGTTGGGTGCCCTCAGTAGTGTAACAGCGTTACATAGTTTTAACTACCACCATTAGTGATTATTCTCAGTATGATTTGTTAGTGCTGGGGATAGACCTTTTTTTTTTTTTGCAGACTAGCACAAACCGCTTAAGAACCTTTGGGGCAACAGCTTAAGAATGATTAACTTGATGTGGGATTAAACTGCAATTGGTCCACAGTTAAGCACAAATGTCTCATTAACGTCATGTTGGATGATTTGTAGGACTGGCAGCTTTAGATTGGTTTTGGAAACCAGCAGTGTAATTGCAGGCACTAATATTAATATCCAGATGTCATCAGCAGTGTTCTTTTGAGTTGTGCGCACCAAAAACAGCCCCATCCCACAAAACCCACAAATAAAAGATCTATGTTTACTTTAGTATTGGTCCTGGGGTTCTGTCATTTTCACTGGAATTCCAGGGTAAAAAGTACAATATATAACGTTGAAGTGAATTTTTAAAAATGCTGTCCGTACCCAACTGTCATACAGATCAGTGTAGAGTACTGTGTTGCTCACTGTGATGATTGGTTATAACCATTCGCAGTTTCCACCAGAAGGGTATTCCTCTGTGTTGGCTAAATCTTCCTTGGATGTCTGAGTGAGCACCCCTGATTGTATGGCTGAAATGCCTGATAACTTCTGGATATGCATAATTCTGTTTCTGTTCTAGGTGTGATCCTGAGGGACTCCCATGGAGTTGCCCAAGTCCGTTTTGTGACCGGCAACAAAATTCTAAGAATTCTTAAATCCAAGGGGCTTGCTCCTGATCTTCCAGAGGACCTTTACCACTTAATCAAAAAGGCAGTTGCTGTTCGTAAGCATCTCGAAAGGAACCGGAAGGTAAATAGCCAACTGTAGTCCATCCTCAAAATGGTAAAATAGGACTTGCAGTTCTAAATGACTGAAATTGTAGGAGAGTTCTTTATTCAGGAGATTGTGGCCCAATTGTGGTGCAAATAAGATGTAATTCAGTATATGAAACCAATCATACAAAATGTCATGTCTTTGAACCGCTTTTTGTTGTCAGGATAAAGATGCCAAATTCCGACTCATTTTGATTGAGAGCAGAATTCACAGACTGGCTCGTTACTACAAGACCAAGAGAGTACTGCCACCCAATTGGAAGTAGTAAGTCTGACTTGCTCTGGTTAATCTGGTATGAAAGACTTGCTGAAAAACAGGCAGCATTTAGTTTCCCAGCCTGTAATGGGAAGAGATAGAATTTAGAGGCAAAGTATGAGTTACTGTTGGGATCCCATTTGTTATGTATTCGGCTCTAATTAGGTTAGACCAGAACAGTATAAGGAAGTATTTTAGTCCTTTTAAAATGGGTTAGATTTTCTCCGTAGTTTAAGTGTTCTGTTGCTTAAACGTAAAGGTAAAGGTTCCCTTGCTCGAAAGCCAGTCGAATCCGACTTTAGGGTTGCGGTGCTCATCTCCGTTTCAAAACCGAAGAGCCGGTGCTGCCCGAAGACGTTTCCGTGGTCATGTGGCATGCATGACTAAACACCAAGGCGCACGGAACGCTGTTACCTTCCCACCGAAGTGGTCCCTATTCATCTACTTGCAATTTCTTGCTTTCAAACTGCTAGGTTGGCAGGAGCTGGAACTAGAGACAGGAGCTCACCCCATCTTGCGGCACCTGGGTCTTGAACTGCTGAACTACTGACCTTCCACAGCCTGCAGTTCAGCGTCTTAACCACTTGGGCCACTGCAGCTTGCTTAGGGCACTAAAAAATTCCTAACGGAGATTGTTGTATTAAAACCATTCGCAGTGTGTATCAGTAAGGTTTTCCTCAGCTTTGACTAGACAACTCAGTGAGCTGCTACAACTTGAAATGTAATTTGTAAATTTAGGCCTGGGGTTGTGGTACTTACT